AAAAATAAGGAAAACTTTTTTAATTTGACTATGACATACCGTTTGGACTCTGACATAGTTTGGAGTTATAGTACAATTATCGACAAAGAAACTAATATTGCCACAGCACCGGCATTGATTCCATATTGGCGCAAAGTGGATAGTGAATGGACGCAGAATAACAAGAGTTTATCTATAATCATTAATAATAAAAAGAAACTTATAGCTTGGTTTGTCTCGAATTGTCGTACCTATTCAAAACGTGAACGGTTGGTAAAAGAATTACAAAAATATATTCCCGTGGATATATTTGGAAAATGTGGTGACTTAAAGTGAGTATATGAATATTTATTATTTAAAAAAACATAAATACGTTAAATTTTTCCCATTATAAAAAATTATTTAAATGTAAATGAACAAAATTATTTTGTAGTAAAAATAATTATAATTAGGTTGTATTTTATTTACTAATATGTTTTTAATTTATCTTACAATTATCTTTAACTCAGAAAGTGTGTTCAGATACGCAGGGTGCATGAGAAGTTTTTTTGAACAATGTTGTAAAATGTAATTCCTGAAATTATCAGTGAGTATTTGAGTATTTTCGATCCATAAAATTAATTTTGAGTATTTTCGAAAATAAGACAAAATTAAAAAAGAAAATATAATACAATTTCCTAACCACTACAATTTGGTGTTGGTTTCGGTAAAATCGATTACTTTAACAATTTGTTTTACTATGTTATACGTTGATTATGCAAACTATTATGGAATGAAGTTGACAAATTAGTAATAATAACAAGTTTAATAGATAAATACCTTTGTTAGCGAAAAACTGCAGTTCGTAATCGAATAAGTGCTTCAAATGAGTAGATAATTAACTATAAAAAAGTTTAGTGATAGTGCAAATAATTTATTTGACTGTATTGGACGTTGATTCAATGTAATTGTTTAAATATATAAAGATTTTTTTATAGTAAATAATAACTATCGGTTAGGGGTGGATCTAAAACTATATTTAAGAGACCAAAGAACAATAAAACAGTAAAATAACAAGTAAGTTTAAAAATGACGAATATTATGTTGTTAGCCGAGAACATTATGGCAGCTGTGCTTTGAAATTACAAAAGTGTTGTTGATTGATGTTTAAGTAATGGACCGAACAATAACTGAAACATTACAGTACTGTACAATAACTGAAGAAAAGATACTGTACAGGTTCAAACTGCAGCAGTCGTTAAAACTAAAATTTATTATAAAGTTGATTGAATTTTTAGAACAGCTATTATAGGATAACTATCATAAATTTACCCTGCTTGTATACTCGCTAGGCACAATTTTTACATATACTTTTACTTTTTCACTAACACATACATTTTTGATTGCAAACAAAATTAATAAGATAACATTCAAACGTAAAATTTTTCGAATAGCCCTCGTAGACAAATTAGGTAAACGATATCGAGTTGTAAAATGTAGAATAGGTGCAGAGTGAGCTTTCAAAATAATCATATAATTAATAACGAAATATAAATTGATTACGTTTTGCGAACAACAATATTGTTGCTTTATAATAATTAATAATGAAATTACTGCGAAATGTTATACAATTTATATACTAATTAGATAATTTGGCCTACATTTGCACTTATAGACGTGGATTATTATATTGGTTGGTTAATATTACCGTTGTTAATTAGAGTGCGAATTGTCAAAGAAGTGGATTAAATATCCATTTTAATTTATTAATATAAAATTAATAACTTAATAATATTGTGTTTGTTTCATGAGCATCTAGATTAAAAAAAAGCAATTATTATATTAAGGAGAATAGCTGTTTTTGAAGCCTTGAATTAAGTATGAATGTTAGCAAACATAACAGATTAGAAATTAAAAATGGGCGGTATGCTTTGTATGAAGTATGGATTTTAGCAAATATGTTAATAGATTAAAAAATAAAAACGGATGGTACAATTTTGTACCCGCCATACCTCAACATTTTTCACTCATTGAATTTATATATATAAACTATGTATTAGGTCTCTGTATTTTTATTAGTTATAATTATGTCTTAGGCATAATAAGAAGCTCGGATACATATAAATACTATATTCATTATTCATATACTAAAAATATGTATATATTTGCCATACAATACAATGACAGATATCAGAATATAACGGTATTTACTGTATGCTTTGGTAGGAAATTCTATTTTTAGAACTTGATGATTTGAACTAAAAGTTTTCTTAAAAAGTAAGCAGTTTTGTTCATATAATTAGAGATACACTGTAAGTTATATTTTTTTTTGGAAAAATCTTCTAAATGCATTGTAAGTTCTAGATAATTTTAACAGTATCCATGTGCTTTCGTAGGTCACTTTAAAGAGCTACAATATCAGTCCTTGCAAATTCATACAACTGCAGTTGTTACTACATATACGACAGTAAAGAAAGATAATGCAAATCAGATCTTATCACTATTTGTAGCGGACTTTCTAACATCTACGAAATGTCTCTAGAATATAAATTTTTTATTAAACTAGTAAGTAACTGCTGATCATTTCATTGAATATGGAGTATCTGTGAATTTGCTTAAAAAATTACTTAGAAAATATATTTATATAGAAATAAATAAATAAGTAAATTCGATCCAAACTTTACTCTTCATTGGAATTATTATACTATATTGAGGTTGTTAAAAATTTTTTTGTCAAATATTAATAAATTTGCCTAACTTTTTATTGTATATTAATGTTGCATATAAATATATATGTTTATTTGGTTATGCAGATTAAAAACTTTAGTATTATGGGCTGAAATATAGGATTTTAAAGTTTTTTATATATGTAAATACCTTTTCTGTATTTACTTTTTGGGAAAATTGGTTGATGCCACTCGGTAGGATTTTATGTATTTTGTAGACGTATTTGACAATTTAATTAAAGTTATAACATTTAATATATATCCAGTAGATTGTATAAAAATTATATGTTAATTAAATTTACACTTTGCCGTTGCAGATGCAAGTTTGGGTCTACCGATTGTGATGAAGTTTTAGACACTGAGTACAAATTTTATTTAAGTTTTGAAAATTCGCTATGCCTTGATTACGTTACTGAGAAATTTTACAATGCGCTTAAAAGAAATATTGTACCTGTCGTATTTGGAGGTGCAAATTATTCCAAGTTTGCACCTCCGCAATCCTTTATTGATGCACATGGATTTCCGAGTGTAGAAGAGCTGGCTAAATATCTGTTACATTTGAATAACACTCCTAACGAATATGCACGTTATTTCTGGTGGCGTCGTTTTTATACTATAAAAGGCAACACTATCCCATTTTGTGATATCTGCCATCATCTCAACAAGCCCGTCACACAGTACCGCACACAAATTTACAAAAGTATTGATGACTACTGGCATCATAACACTTGTATAGATGCAACATCCTAAATTTTTAGTTAAATTAAGCAAACATTTTTGATGTTAGTATATTTTGTAAATTTAATTTAAATATATAGTACATTAAATTTTAGTATTATAGTTATATCAAAATTGTAACATTTACAATTGTATACATTTATAAATAATAATAATAATAATTTGAAGGGATTTATTTCAAAAGAATTTTCACCTTTTTTAAAGGTACTGCTTGTAATTATAAGTTTAAAAGTAACATATAATAGTAGCAAATTAATATGCAGAAATAAATTATCACATTTAATTTCGGCAGTGGGAAAAATTTTAAGGGTTTATGAGTGCTACTCTTATCTATTTCCGGCTTTTATTTAAATTACAATTATCCACATCCACATCCACCGCCAGGTATATTGCAATCCATAGAATTTGTTATACGACCAATATTTCTATTTGGTCTTAACCCACCATTGCCCCTACTATTGTTTCCACCACCATATCCTGAACCCCAGCCATTACCACCACCTCTTCCGCTACTACCACCACCACCACCCCCTCCACCACCGCCTCCTCCACCAGAACTCCAGCCACCGCCTTGTCTACCATTATTACTTCTGTTTTCATTTGTAAATGGTGCAAGTATAGTTTTTATGCTAATATAATAAAATAGTTTTCATTTGCTTTCAATCAATTATTCATTTACAACTCACAAGCACAATATGGTAAACCATATTCCAGTGAAAATGCCTAAAATTCGAGCCAAATTCCAAGGCCGATGGTTAAGGACACGTCCATCTAAATCATAATTGATAACTGATACATTTAATATAAAAAAAATCAATTCCTTACCTCTGTCTATGTAAACCATTATAGATAATAACTTTTTCCGGTAGGTCTGCTTATATAGGTGAAATCTACATTAAAAATTTAAACAAAGCGTTTAGTCCTACTTTATTATTTGACAAGTTGTTGTAAACTACTTTTGTTGACGTGTTGTCATAAACTCAAAATACAAGGTTGCATTTCGAAAACGATAGCTATTTGATTATTATTAAATCAAAGAATATTAGTATAAATATTCCTTGCTGTATATGTTAAAGACTTTGGTTCACCTTACGTGAGTCAGCAATAATAGACTATGAAAACGTTTAGTATTTACATTTTAACTATCAGAACATAGTAAACAATTTAAACAACGGAATGCAATTTATTTTATTTTGTTTTCAATCTGATTAGTCGCCATATATTATCATTTTAAATTCATGTATTGTTGCATTTATAATTTGTTTTGGTTTAAATTTCTGTTGATTCGCAACATTTTTTTGCTAAAATTGAAGTTTGATTTAGTAACCGAAAGTACTTTTGCATGGATTTTGTATAACAAATGTTACTAAACTCTACTCGCTTACGTACATAAATCCAGATATGTGTTAAGTGCTTTATTCTGAATACAGTTTTGTACATTCGAAAACTATGTTAGTAATTATAATAACTGAATAAATTCAGTATATACAATCATATAATAAAAACTGATACTAGATAAATCATAGATTTATATAATCGCGCAATTATTCATCGTTTTTATACTGCAAAAAGCGACCCTGCTTTATTGTGGGACAATTGTCATCATCTCAAGAAGCTCCTTATTCTATATACAATGTTGCTCTTTACTCATAACATAATACTCGTGTAAATGCGTAAGCCTTAATATTTAATTAAATTCAGCAAGAATTGTCTGTTATCCGTATATTTTGTTAATTCAATCTCAATATGTAACAGTAAATTTTAGTAATAGTTTTAGATCTAAATAATATTTATAATTGTACTAGGATGTTAATTATTTTTAAAAAATAGCTTCAAAAATAAGTGGAGTTTAGTTGTGTGAATTTCCTCTACAAAAGTTTTCAGAACTACTTCTCTCAAATATGAGTTTACAAGTAATTCGTCATACGTGCAAATAAAAATGCAAAAGAGAAAATATCACACTAAATTTCAGCAGTGTCCGAGCGTGCAAAAACTATGTAGGTGTGATAGCCATACTTAGCTTAAGCACTTATTTAAAGCACGGACACATTACCGCGATCATCCACCGCCAGGTATGTTACAATCCATAGAATTCGTTATGCGACCAATACGTCTGTTTGGTCGTAGTCCTCCATTACCTCCACTATTGTTACCACCACTATTTCCTGAGCCCCAACCACCACCACCACCTCCTCCTCCACCACCGCCACCACCACCAGAATTCCAGCCACCGCCTTGCCTACCATTACTGCCTCTGTTTTGATTTGTAAATGGTGCAAAAAGGGTCCTCATGCTTATATAATAAATTTGTTATTATTTGTTTCAATGTTTGTTATTTAAATCAACTTACAAACACACTATGGTAAACCATAGTCCTGTGAAAATACCCAGAACGCGAGCCAGATTCCAAGGTCGATGGCTGAGAACACGTCCATCTACGATGATTAAGTTAACTTAAGTTCAATATAAACTCGTTTACAGTTAATTCGTTTACCTCTATCTATGTAAACCATGGTTGATGTTGTTACTCCGTTTGTTACGGATAATCTGTTTATAATTTTATGAATTTACATTGAAAATATATAAAAACAAATTTTAACTATCATATTTATTCGAGAAATTTTTGTTGACTAATTGTATTGACGTGTTTGTCAAATATTTAATACACAAGGTTGCATTTTGTAAACTGTCATGTCAGTAGCTATTTAGTGCGTACTCAAACCTTATGTATTCAATATGTATATTTTTTTCAATAAAAAAATGTGTAGTTTGTGTAATCACGACTTGAAATTATATTTTATGTGTTATGTATAATTATGTATAACTCTATAAAGGAAAAAATATACAAACAAAAAATGATTTTATGTTACAGTAATGACTTATTTTAAGAATAATTTATATATCTGCAAACTTCTTTTTAAAAACTGTATGATTGGTTCAAATTTATAAAAAATTAAATATTTTCATAAAATTTATATTATACACATTACTATATAATCGCACATGACTTTGTTAACATATGTCTTCGAGTTCTACTATTCAAGTATAAAGTTATAAAAACAGTCCAGTTTTTGGATTATAATTTCATTTTAGCATAACATAATAACTCTTCATATCATATATATTTATTATATTTATATATATATTTCATTATATTGATGCGAATATTATGTGTGTTATTATTAATCATTTAACGTTTGTGTTACAATCGTTTAGTAAGACAAATGATTTTTATGACATTTTTTTCTAAGTTCCAGAGTTTTAACTTCGAGTTTTAAGATAACTGAGATACTCAGAAAATACTCAATATAGGTAGCATTTTCTAGGTATTGTACAAAAACTTTATAAGGAAATTACTCAAGTTATAATGTATATTCTCATTACCCGGATTAATAAATTAACTCTGATTAGTATAAATAGAATTCTTATTTAAACAATAATTATTGAAGTATAGAATGGCTTCGTGAAGATTTATTTTAAAATTTTAAAATATAAAACTACGTAAAGCTGGTTTTATATATTTTGATTTTAATTGTACCACTGAGAAGTACAAACTGAAACTGGGTACTCACGCAATTGTCAACTAAACTAAACTAAACTAAATCTTATTGTGTCCTATGCGTGCCAACATCAATAACTTGCTTATCACTATATTATATCTAATAAAAATTAGCAATATTATTACATTTATTGCAAGGAATATCATCACCTTCTCAACGCTATTCGTTATCTTTATTATTAACATCATTATCAGGATTATCAGGATATCTATAATAATTGCTAAATATATCTCATTATTGGACCTTATTAATCCGTAAAATATTATGTTTATTATTTTTGCATACAGTCCTTAAAATCATTTATTAAAGTAATTCCCTCATTAAAAAATGATGGATTAATAGAGAAAATGTATTTTAATATATAATACTTAATAATAACTTCACCGTATTTAACATATTTAAAAGTGATTTAAATAAATTATTATATGCTTTATGTTTAGAATTTATCATATTAATAATTCAATTGTTTTTTAATTCATAATAATTAATGCGGAGTGACGTACACAAGGTAACATACACAAGGAATGACGTTGCAATAACACCCCCCAAAAAATATTCCCGCATAGATGTTTTCATATGCATT